GCCTCTTCCTCCCACGTGTTCGGCATTTGTTATGGGAGTGCAAGCCGAAAAACGTCTACCGTGCCCTGATTTGGCCCCCGTGTTGATCCAGCGCATCTACCACGCGGCCCGATTACAGATCACCATAGCATAGTAGACACAGGGAAGATGATTTACGCGGCAATAAGTTCAAAGCTATAGCGGAATTGCGCGGAATCTACCACACTCCCTCCCACTTCATCCGCCTGAGCCCAGTGTTAAGACCGAGAGCGGACGCAATGACTGGCAAGACTAAACAGCTCATCCGCGTGTGTCAGACATGCATCCTTGGCTAAGTTTCCATAAGGAACAAGATGAAGGTCTTGAAACGGTCCAAAACGAGTGTAAGTGCCATAGAGGCCATGGTAAAGAAACATTGCAGTTTGAATTTCCGTGCTGAAGACATAACATTATATAATTACGAGGCACACGCTCACGGAGGTAGTTTGCCAACTTTTTGAAGGGGGTAAAGACAATATATGAAGAAATAAAATAGGACAAACAAGCTAGTGTCCTGGTGGTCTTTGAGCTCATTAGTTTTGTGAACCGCATGATCCACCCATTTTCGTCAGCCATGCGTGCATAAGAGCTTGGGATCGTCAAGGTGTCTGCGGGGAAGGCGAAGCACAGTAACTCGCGGAGATGAATCAGAAATAGTTCGCAATAAGGGAGTATTAGTCATGCTTGACAAAACGGAGGATATCAGAAATCGACGAATGGCCAAATTAGAGTAAGACATATCAGAGGTCGCCAAATGCTATTCTAGAGGTGTACGACATAAACGTCATCTAGCACTCCCGAAAACCAATCGGTATTGACATTGTGAATAATTATGGTGGAGATCTGTCTACTAGTTATTCGACAAAATTCCGTTTGGTTCATTTGAACAAGTCCACCTACATGCATTTTTTCTCCTCTGAGTTTGAAGTTTTCAGAAGACAACGTATTGACGGCTTCACGAAGGGCCTCGACCTGAAAGAAAGGGGAATGCGTAAAAGCACGCTAAGACTGGACATCTAAATAAAGAATAAGGTCAGAATCTCAGTAAGTTTACAGTGAAACACATAAGCAACAAAATTAAAGGCGCGTATTATAATGCGCGATCTCTTTCGAAAAAAGCGAGTGTCAATTGAACCTATTTCAGGCAGCAGCCAATCATCTGGCGACTCTGCTTCCAAACCGAGGAGTACAATAAGGAAATAAACGATTATAAAGGGCATAAGGTGATATGCACAGGTATGGCTTTTGGTAATTGAAGTGCTACAAGTATTTGAGTACTCAACAGGCGCTGCAACGTAAACGTTCAACTCCGCCTCTGAGCAACAGGGTTCCAGACAGCCAAACAGTGGTTACGCAGTCAAAATGGAGAATTGCAAAGGGTTCGGGCATTCCTATCAACTTACTCATAGCCATCAATAACTGGTCTGTCGAACACGATGGGGGTTAACAACTGTTTGCAGCAGCAGTGATAACTTCGGCTTAAACTGAAGTACAGTGAGGCAGACTTATAGAAAGGACATCGCATTCCCTATTTTCTCACCTAGCAGACCTAGGCCAGCGTGGTGGGAACTGTGTTTGGACGCCGTAACAGTTGGGTAGGTTCCTACAATATTTCAGTCAGGTGAGGATTCCGAGTATGAAACTGGCCCCTTTCTGGGTACCTGCAGAAATCACATTCGGCGAAAATGACTACGTAAATAGTATGATTTTAGCAAAGAAGATGAAGAAGCGATCATTAGAAAAGCATTCTTATTTGTCTAAGCATTCAACTTCGTACAAGAGGCCATCTTAAGAGACAATGGCCGTGTAGCAAAGTTGAACTGTTTTTGTAGTTCAGATACGAGGAAGGAGGAGGGGTGCGTGTTGCACGCTCAGTGTCTTTCAAGATTGCCTTTTGTACAAAGGCGATCGCTCAGACAGGAATGCTGTCCCGGTCATGGAGCCTTCACCTCCCTTGCAACAATAACCTGGAGCACACATATTCGCTTCCATTCTTGAGTATGAATTTTACACATTGCTTTTCGATGTCCTTAAAAATTCAGGTATATTTTATAGAAAGCAGGTACGAGAATATTCTTTACATACTCATTCCGTAGAAAACTCTCTTTTTTGAATTCTAAACTCCAAGAGAAAGTTTTGAAACGATTTCGCTTCGTGGAATAGTTTTTAACCTATCAGACAGCTGCAATCGTGCTTAGGTTTTCATAACATTTTTCTAGGCTGTTGAAAACATGTAAGCATGATTAAGTGCACTGATGAGATGCCGAATGGGCGTTTACTAATCCCATAATCATAATCCCCTTTTCATTTCATTGAATTAAAACATCGAACAAAACTTAATTATATATCTAATGAGCACAGAAAGGAATATTTTGGTGCATACTCTCTGTAAAATATATTTGAATTCACAGGGGCGTCGAAAATCAATGAAATAATTTCATACTATTTAGGTAGTCATTTTCACCAAGCTCATTCAAAAATCGCCATGCTATCGTGGTTGAAATTTCTTCCGACTATGCAGCATGATAATCCCTTCTAATTCAAAACACAGTGGAGAATTTCGTTTAATAACGCAACTGATAGCACGCCTATGCTTGCTACGCTAATTATCACACAAAATTGGCACAAAATAGGCCAGAAAGGCATTTTACAAGCATGAAATAACAAACGAAAAAAGAAAAACAGAAAGATACCTCGCTTAACAAGACAGTGGTTTCTCTGTAGGCCGCCAACTTGGAGGCAAGAGTTGAGGAAGTCGGTGAAGGGCCAGCATCAGCACCAGTCAGCGGGGAAGAGGACGCGGCTTTTTTCGCAAGAAAATGGGACACGGAGAGAAAAGATGGACTCAAGGGGAGCTGAAATAGCCCAGAATCGTACAAAATAGCAAGTGAGCAGACAGACATGACTTAGCTATCCTCGCACTGCTAAGAAGATACACGATAGCCGTCTGTTTGTGGCCTCCAATATCCTATTCTGAACTTGTCTTTTCTATGAAACCAAACAGAGTAGTGCATCTGCTGATGACCAAGCGATTTATTTCCTGTTAGCGCATTAATGCATGAGGTTATTAAAAGGCTAACAAATATATTGAGGTACGGAGGCTAGTAGGTAGTGCGACAGCTGTTAACTTCAAACGGGATGGCGGACCTGTCACGTAGACTCCAATTGTTTCCCACAGCAGGTGTCGGCCGCGATATAGCTGACTGCATACGGCAGCCTGCTCCATTTGGCTTTCTCGATCTACCTCTGTTATCATTTTCCCGACCTCTCCTCCGCTTGGTCGTCTATCATTCTATTCGAAGTTTCTTCTATCTGGGAATCCAAGGCAGTTGGTGGTTGCAAATTATTGTGTTGGAAGATTCCACTACAAAATTGGGCAGTGGATTACATCGCTTGTTACATGGATGAAGCCGACGTCAACTTCTGCATCATTAACACACAAACTTTTTGAGCAGTAGAAATATTCAACAGGCTACTATAATGTATAACCAACCAGTAGTCGCCTACCTGCAATTTAATAAACTGGACTGAACTGAACCCCCTGCTAGAGGATATATTGGCCTTAGCAACGGGTGAAGGTTTACCATAAGGTAACGAAACCGCAGGTGGTCATCTAGCGACACGACAGCTGTTAAGAACAACTACCATTAGTCTGTGATAGCGCGCGCTTGATGCTTCGGTTCATTTAGTGCAATTTCGGTAAAGGAAAAAAGAGGCCGTGAGCCGCAGGTGACCTGAGCTTTTCTATAGGTTAAGATGTTTCCGTCGGCGCTATATCGAAGGGTTTTACCGTTTCCTCACACATGACATTCAATTCAAACAGGCAGACAAGGTAGCCACACGAGACAGAAAAAGGGCTTATCAACGATGATGATGAG